ATCCAATGTGAATCTAAAACATTAACAAGGAAAATTACATAGAAAATCAAGGTCTAAGGAAAATTCCTTATCACTCAAAATAACAACTAGCAAGGATCCCAGCTCCGCTGGGAGTAAAATTGAAAAAATGTAGTTGTAATTATAATTGTTCAATTTATTTCTTTTTTTCTTTCTCTTGGCATGTTTATTTTATAGGTTGCTACTGAGACTTACAGCTTTGATAATCTTCTGTGAACACGGACGTGAAAAGGTGATACACTGCTAGAATCCTTCCTAATCGACTCTCTTTTGCAGAGTGGGTGCTAATACATGGTCCCTACTTTACACTTCTATAACGCAAAAGCTACAGACTTGCCACAAAGAGGGGTATAAACTGGTGAAGTGCAATGGTGTCCCTCCTCGGAAATGGTAGTGTGGTTGCTCTAGGATCTGACTGGCCTGTAAGCCTGTCAAATACTTTTTCTTCGGCATTACATGAATGGTTTGTCTCAAGGTGGTAGCAGTGAATCCACTTGGAGGAATCCGCACAGCCATGGAGAGAACACTTCAGGCTGGAGTCATCCCGAGGAAAGGATTGCTGCATGGGACGTAGTGGCAGGGTAAGATGAGAAACTGAAATGCAGTTTTTGTTTTTGGATTCACAGGTACACATCCTCAGCTGTGTATGCAGCTGCATTGGAGGATTTGGTTGGGTTGCTGACGCCAGGAAAGTTTGCTGACTTTGTGGTGTTGTCCGAGTCTCCTTTTGGACAGGGCACGGGCATTTTTCCTCCAGTGGTTGTGTTCGTTGGTGGAAATTTTGCCTTCCCTTCTTAAGGCGTTATTCCATAATTATTTGGTCTTTTAAATATAGCATATTTGCGAGAATATTGGTGAGGAGAAAGCAGCCAGAATCATCAAGCAGCTGGTAAAGACCTTCAAAGAGATTTATTTGAGGGGCGTGGTTCACCAGAATCTCAAGGTCGACAACATTCTTTCCAAGCCAAACATGCATGACAAGTGGTGATCAGCACCTTTAGGAGATATCACAACAGCGAAGTACATGGCAGCTGAGGTGGTGGAGAACAAGGATTGGAGCTCTACATGGCAGCCATCGAAATGTGGGGGCTAGGAGCAATTTTATACAAGACGCTGGGAAAGGGAGGATACCAGCCAATGGAAGCATTTGATCTCGTGTGACAGGGGGCGACCTCTGTTTCGGATCCACGGCCAACATCTTAGAAAGGAGATCCTCCGCTGCAAACAAGCAAGGACCAATCAGGTTCAGGTTCGATCAGGTTCTGCAACACCCATGGATTTGTCAAAAATTGCAGCATTAAGACCGACAAGCTGTGAAGGAGTGGTGTGAAAAGGAGTGCTCCCAGCCTTGAGAACAAGAAAGTTCGAGTGGCTTTAAAGAAAATGCCAGCAGTAAGTTCCTATTTCCTTTTCACCATTACTAACTTCATTTGCTTGCGTTTTTCTTTTTTGTATTCTCCAGACATCAACATCTCTTATGTCTATGGCTGGAAAACACTTTCAGTGGCTGCCGAGAACAACTGCAGAATGAAAACAAGTTGGAACGAAAAGGAAAACGAGGGAGTTGAAATGTAAAGAAAGAATTGTAAAACATTTATTGATATATAAATAAAGATCAAAGTTGAATCGAGATCTTTCACTAATCATCCAATATATTTAAATGAAAGAGCCTCATTGATCATTGCAGTAGGTGGCTCTAATTTTATATATATATATATATAAAATTGGAAGTTTCAAACAAATAATGAAAAATATGCAGCTTATTCACAATGAAATATTTTAGATACTGCTCAAGCAACGGAGATATAAATCAAAAAACAAACACAATTCTAAATGCAATGAGCAACTAATGGGTGGTCTTGATAAATTATTAAAAGAGATAAATCCCTATACTAATGCATTCACAATATTGTAAGAAATAGAGAATGAAGTGTTAAAATTAGCAAATTTTCAAGGAGGCATAAGTGATATCGTAATACATATAAAAGGCAATTAGACAACTGATCCAAGATAATATAATGCACTAGGTTCAAATGATTTTAAACATTTAGTTGTACAAAGATGGTATTCGTTGATGAATTTTTTTATTATGTCTACTATGTATGATATATTTAAAACAAAAAATATGTTCAATATGTTTAAACATGTATTATCAAATCAATCATATACTCTTTCTTCTATAGAATAAAAACTTTATAGAACAAAGAGTATCTGATTAATTCAATGCTATATTATTAAAATTAAACATAATTGTTTTTACAAAGATGGTATATAGTACACACAATAAAAGATATACTATAAAGTTAAAAGTAAATTAAGTAGTGACTATAGAAATGATATATTTTATAACTAAAATAGAAGAGTTGAATAGCTCCAGCTATTATATCTTGTAAATAAGTTATACTTTTATCATAATCTTATTATTTTTAACTTTATGATATTGCACAAATATGAGACAATATCTAAGCTAATAGACAACTCAATATGAGTAGATTCATTGATGAATGTGTAACAAGTCTGTTATTTACACTAATAATTTGTGCATTGATACATGGAAAACAGATACATAAAATATCATTGAGACAATATTAGACAAATACAAAAGGCTACCAGGCTAAAAAATGTGATTCCTCATCACTTAAAATTTTATTTTTAATAAAGCAATCAATGGACCTTTTTTTTATTTTCTGACATGTTATGGTTTTAGGAAAAAAACAATATTATGAATCATCAATACCATAATATCAAGATAAAAACATAACTTTCATTGAAATATTTTAGCCTCAATGTAAATTTATATAAAAATAAATTAAACATAAAGGTAAAAATCTTAATTCATTTTAGCATTCTCTCTATATAAAAACATATACACAAAGAATCTTAATGATATAAAATATGATACCTTAACCTTTAGATAGTACTTCTAAAAAGCATAAATGTAAATTTTATGAAGGGACAGGATATCGAATACAAATATGCAAAAAATAATTCTAAAAACAATATAATGTAATTTTAAGGAATATTTTTAAATAAATTTTAAAAAGTACTAAATATAATAAAAGAAAAAAAGTATCTAAATTAGAATATAAAAAAAGTAATTTCTATAAAAATATGATATTTTCTAACTTAAAATAGAGGAGTTAATAGTTCTAGATATTTGTTGTGTAAAATATTTTCTTATTAGTAAACTTATGGTTGGCTAAGATGTAGTCTAAGATTTATATAATATCATAAATTTTCTACCACTTTATCCTACATTGCATTTATACATGAAAAACATAATAAGGTATAAATATGATTAGGACAACATTAGTACATGGACCATATACAGAATTTTAATTATATGATATTAAACCTATCTATATACCATTCATGAATTTTCTGATATATTATAGCTCTAGCATAAAGACAAGATTATATATCATCAAACCCTACTCTACCCCAGTATAGAGTAAAACATTACCATTCATTTATCATCATAAAGTTTCAGAATTCATAACAGTGTTATAAAGCCTTAATTTTAAATATAAAAGCATGAATATAAATAAATAATATTATTATTTTAGATTTATAAAACTAAATACAGAAATAATGTTTATGATATATAATAGATCACTTTCTATTTTAAATATTACTCTCAAAATGCATGAATATAAATATTAGGTAAAAAGGGATTATCAATGATAAATATGTAAAATATTAAAAATTTTTAAAAGAAAATATAACACATAAAGCTCCCAGCATAGCTGGGACTTTTGCTAGTACTCCCTTATTTAAAAGTGCTATTGGCATATGGCATCTGCCATCTTTTATTCCATATTTAGAATATTATTTGTGAATATACTTATAATCTAACAGTTGAAATTCAAAACCTTCAAATAGATGGCATAGATCATAGCAAAAGGCTTTCATCATGTGATAACACCAGAATGTGATGAAAAAGAAATGTTTTTTTGGCAAATGAAGTCTCATCAGTGTTGGAAGTATTCGCTTTCTCTTGTTCTCAAATATTTCCATGGCTATTGGGTGCCTCGTTGGCTTAAAAAAAGACATAAAACAGACTACCAAAGAAAAAAGTTGAAGAACGGTATACTACAGTTCCATTCATGTAAAGGGCCACTGTAAAATAGGTGCCATTCTTACAGGTGGTCAAGCCACACAAGAGTCACAACAAGAACAAGTTGATACATTTCAACACAAAAAGGTCTGGATGCATAATGTCATTCGACATCGTTGATGTCGAAGGAACAGAGATCAGAATTGTCAGTTCTGATGATTGTCCAGTGGCTTTGTCTGATAAGATTGTCCAGGCACTGTGTATTCATTTTCTGTTGTGGTGGAAAACAACATTCTAATCAGGCATACACACCATTTGAAGCAACCTGGGAGATTCAAGCTAACAAAGGTATGGAGTTTACTGCACTGGAAGAGCATGCCACATATGTATGTGCATAAGTAAAATAAATATCATGTGGATATACTTTATTTATGTGCATGCTCTTAAAATAGTTACATGTGATTTGTCTCGCAGTTATGAGAAACTTGCAAGAGAAAACGACTTTCACTATATATTCATTTATTAAATAATGCAATCATAAATACCCACTCACCTAACACACATCAACTTTATTTGATGATTATCCACAGCAAGCTAATAATGGTTATGGAAGCTTAACAGGGTTCAAAAATGGTAGCACGTCATTCCCAAAGTAGATGAAATGGATGAATTCATTTTCTGACAATTACGAAATCAACTACCTGTCTCCTGAGGCAACTTTGTGGGCCTAGAGTTGCTCTCTTCCTGTTGGTGGGATTGGCACTCAGTAGACATGTGTTTTAATTCACATGATGTAGCAGAATAAAGGCACCATTGAATAAGACTTTTCTCTTGAAGAAACTTGCTTGCTGTGAGCAATCAAATTTTCCTATTGCTACTGGCTGGGCCTTTTTATGTCTTTTTTCTTTATAGTAAACGTTAAGCACTAAGCAAGCTCTTTCTACAAATCACATCGAACACGTATCAGACATGAACCAGGACCACCATGTGGGACTAAATGTGCACTCGCAAAAGAGCCAAAGATTAAATGCAAACCAAAAGACTCTTCCATATTAGAGAGCCTCAGCAAATTTTTCCCTCTATAAGATAATGAAAATTCTGATTTATTAATTCATAAAACATCTAACTATCCCAGCGGAGCTAGCTTCCCTGCTAGTTTAAAGGAAAGAGCCCCTTAATCTAGGTGTCACATATTCTTCCAAGATTCTAAGATCTAACAGCTGATATTTGAATGTAAAATGTCTGACGTTTGGAATCATAAATACATTTTAATTGTGTTTTTTACGGCGGGAGAGAGGGCTAACGAGAGTGAGGAGAAGCAGCAGGATGCTGAGCAACGAGCAGACAAATCTATCGGCTATTGCAAGGTTCTCCTCCCCCTCCCTCTCTCTTTCTCTTTATGTGTGGGACTATGTGCGGATTTTCTTTCAGTGTACTTTGGCTATAAATTATATTTTCTTCACTGAATGATGGCGCTTCATTTTATTTCAGTTCTGGCCCAAATCCATTGCATTTGAATTACAGAAGAACATGTTATGGTAAGAAAATGGTGCTGCATAGTGCTGGATCAAAGCTTCATGTTTTATTTTGGAAGAGGTCAGTTGTAAAGCATTTTCTAACATATTTCGCAGTTCATAGGGACTCTGGGCAGATTGTGATACCAGCAATCAACAGAGTTCTGTCTTATGTCACTCATATAGTGCAATGCCATGCTGCAGCGTGGCAGCAAGGGTGGTCAGAATTAAGAGTTTTTTAAATTTACCAGTAAGCAATTCCTTTCATTGCTTCTCTTGCACGGAGATCCCTCTGACATGTGCCTTCAAACGCCACGTCCAGCGAGATGGCATACTTGTGGATCCCCTCCAGATTCAAAAATACCCACTTGAAGGCCATGAGAGAACAAACCCTTGGGAGTGCATCAATAAAGGAACAATATGGCACATCTATACGTGAAGTCATTCAAGCTCAACTACAATGCAGCGAGGAATGAACTAGCAAAAAATTATGTGTAGATATGACAATGGCAACTTACAAAACTACTAAGACCAGGGTCGTGTAGGTCTTGATGGCTTTCCTGTCAGCACTTGAATCTTGTGGTCTTTGAGCCTCACAAGCTGCTCCAGCTTCATAACTTTGGCTTCTAACAACTGCTTGTAGTATTTCATCATTCTGTTACTGTACAATCTTAGTTACCTCGATTGTCTCCCGGAGCTCTTGGAGTTGAATATCCTTTTGGGATTCATTCATCCCATCCTTTTCCTGTCTCTCTGGAGAATCTGTCCTTTTCGGACTCTGTAAAACTGAACCAGATCAAGAACAGAACCAGTACAAAGTCGTCTGTACACTTACACCAGAAAGTCTTCTTTCATGACCCCTGCAAGAAAACATGTATAACAATAAAAAGAAAGACGAAAATCTCATACCTGCTCGGCGGTGTATACATTCTAGGGGGCGACCTTTTCATGGGGTAGTTGCCTACAAAATCTAGTTTGAGTTTTGACTAAAGCTGCCGAAAGAAATTTTTCTGTGTGATTACTTATTTGACCATTTCTCCATCATACCATGACCATTAGGCTCGTGCTTCATTGACTCTGTTTTAATCGGCCTGTACTTGGCAATCTGGCAGAATATGACAATATCTAAACCGAATTTGGATCAGAAGACATTTACCTTATATTTCAAAAGCTTAAGTATTCTTTCGATCATTTGGTTTTCAGCATTTGCCACTGCCTCGACGTCTTCCTTGGTTAAGGAAAAGTTTAAACGTCTAAAACCCTTGTCTGCAGCACACACAAAATAAATGTGCATAACCAGAAAGTTGCTTACTGTTGAGAGTGTTCCAGTTGTAAATCTTCTGAGCAAGACTGTTGGCAGCACTGTAGTTGTGAATATCCACAAGCCGTGGGCAATAATGTGCTACAACTTCCGCCGCTAGTACTGGCAGAAAACATCGTTTTAATCCAACACGGAATGACAACAAACAGTACCTCCATCGCTGAAATCCCGAGCGATGTTTCTCTTCGGCCTTGACAATGGAATCCCATCAACCTGCAAACGCTCAGCACTGAGCTGATCTATCAGATAAGCATCAACTACGAACCCAAGAATAGAGTCCAGGAAGCTCTTCAGGTGCCACATCCATGACCTAAATAGATATGAAGTTTCATTTGCGTGTAAAGGAAAAAGAATGTTTTAAACCAGACCCTAACTTAAAACATTAGTCGAAATAAAAGCATCAGGTGTCACATATTCTTCTTTTGAAATATTATTTATCACTAGATTATGTATTAATATAAATTTATTAATTAAATAAAAGTAATTTACAAAACAAAATAGTTAGAGCTATTTTACTCTTCTATTTTAAGTTATGAAATATGTCATTTTCTATAGTAACTACTTTGTTTACTTTTACTTTAAAGCATGGTTTTTATTAGGTTTACCATATATCTGTAATTTTAATATTATAGTATCAAATTAATTACATACTCTTTTCTCATATACAATTTAAGAGAAGGTGGTTTCTCCTAAACCACAATTCACATAATTTTGGTAACTTTTAAAGTTTCTATCTAAACTCTCTTAAATACCTTTACTCCAACTTCATCTTTAAGCCTTCATCTCTTGAGTAAATATAATCACTATGCAATTATTTTTCTTAATTTTCCTCTTGTATAGAATTTTAATATTAATTAATTTTTTAGAAGTTTAAAAATAATTTAACTTTATAACTGTGTTATATATATATATATCCACTACATACAATTGCCTAATTTATTAACATATAACTAAGCATATACAGAAAAATAATGTTAGAAAATGGAAACTAAATCATACATACCAAAACATTGTCCAGGAATATATAAGTCAAATGCCTGTTCTGGTTTTAGTGCATACTTTATCCTTTGGAGATGCATCCTATCATTCAAATATTCCTGTGCAAAGTTCACAAAAGAGCTACTGAAGAAACATCAGAAAGAAAAAGGACTTACTAACCACGTCCAAATGAAGAGGTTTGTGCACGGGCTATAGCCAGAAAAACCCTCACCATAGTCAACTGATTTTCTACACACGCAATAAAAATTAGGGCAAAATATCCAAAAATGTGGGGTCTCTACCTCATCTAGACACAAGGATCGAGCAAAATTTACTTGATGCGAAGGTCTTCTCCCCAGAGACATCTGCCACTGTGATCATATTTTCACTGCATATTGCCACAATTCTCAATATATTGGCATTCACTCGATGTCGATTCAATTGCTTACCGGATTGGCACTGGAGCCTCCACATCTGCTCACAATCAAATAGAGCGAGAAATATCATGTAACCTTGTTTATAAACCAACGATTGGTGACTTTCAAATAACAAAGAGTGTTTATTGTTTGTTCGTCAAATCCTTTATGGTTTGCCAAGTGCTGCAGATGCTCCCACGACAATCGCCAGGTCGACTCCAAATCCAGCACCAAGTGGAGCTCCCAGTGCTGCGGTGGTGCCATTCCCACATTTTCCATGAACAAAACCAATCCTTTTCAGAAAACCATAACAACATCGAAAGTGGCTTCTTCTTTCATCAGCAAGATGCAATGCATAAGAGCTCGTAAGTTCTTCACGCCTTCAACTGGAAGGATCTCATTCCTAGTAATACAGCCCGACTTGTTGCTGGAAACTGACAATGAGCAAAAAGATAATTCCAGTGTTAGTTACGATATTGCAGCCTTTTTTTCTGCTTCTTACTGCTTACAGGATCTTGTCGACCTTACTTGCTGAACTCAACTATTTCCCCCCCTGGCCTCATCACAGCCTTTGATGTCTTTGAACTTTTTCGTATTCTGGTGTTTAAGTCAAAGTCTGTACCGTGCAAAGAAAAGGCCTCTGGCATTGTCCATATTAAATTCTCCACGCCCAAAGAAGTCTACTCCAAACAAGGCGGTAATGAGTTCCTTGTTAGACTGAATAAAAGATAGTTAATTCTTACCAAGAAAGCAAGAGCTCTGTTTGGTGGACATTCTCCCACACCAGTTCTTGTGCAGAGTCGAGGGTGTTAGTGCACATCCGAGAATAAATTTTTGCGCAAGGATGAAATCCTGGATGAGTGGCGAGCCTTCATTTCAGCTGCTACCAATCAAAAGGTTGTATCGATGCTCATGCATGTATGTCCAGTTTGGAAATCCAAAACCTACCTTCTGGCTCCAGGAGCTAAAGCCACTTTACCATTAGCTCCGTATGGCTTAGTTGAGTTTTGCCAGTCCGGTCTTTGCCAAAGACTTTGGTGGCTTCTATCCTTTCTTTACCACCTGTTACATATGGCACAAAAGAGGAAATCCATAGTGATAGGAATCACGGATTTTCACTTATACCGAATCTCCGTAAAAGCTCATGTTGCATTGGCCTTAGTTGGAGGCCTCATGGCAACTTCAAGCAACTCAAAGAATGAAGTGAATGTTTTGTACACTTCCAGCATTAAGAAGTTAAGCCTTGGAGAACTTTGAAAGATTGCTGATGTGATGCCACTTAACTATGATTCATTTCTGGACCATTGCCAACC